CCAAAATCTTCGTCAAGCATCTAACCATCTGCTTTGGTTTCTTCTTCCAAATTGAAATCCAAGGAAAGGCGATGGCTCCAAATTCAGTTCCGGTGACAATCGAGAAGACCAAGGACTTTTCGTCGTTACACGTTGACGATTCGCAGTCTCCTCTGTTTCCCGAGAAGCAGAAGGCCACAAGTCCCAAGCAGTTCACATGGGTTCTGCTACTCAAACTCCATAGAGTTTTTTCCTGCTTCTCGTGGCTGACCATGGCGGTGAAAGCCACGTTTTCCTTGGTCAAGAAACGCATTTCCTTGTCCGACGTAAGCGACGAAGATTCCAAGAATAGAGGAAGGCTGTACAGGCTCATCAAAGTTTTTCTGGCTCTTTCAGTTGGGGGTCTGGCCATGGAACTCATTGCCCATTTCAACAAGTGGAATTTGCATAGTATGATTCAGCCATGGGAAGTTACAGGCCTTCTTCAGTGGTCATACATGGCTTGGCTCTCTTTCCGAGAAGATTACATCGCTCCAGTAGTTGTCTTGGTCTCCAAGTTCTGCATCGTGCTGTTCTTAATCCAATCTCTGGATCGGCTCATGCTCTGTATTGGGTGTTTCTGGATCAGGTATAAGAAGTTGAAGCCCACCATCGAATCAGATTCCTGTGACATTGAGGACCCTTCTAACTTCCCAATGGTACTGGTTCAAATTCCCATGTGCAATGAGAGAGAGGTAAGAGAACAGAAATTTATCTAGCAGAATTCAATTGATTTGTTGGTTTTAATAGTCTTGCGATTTTATCAGCTGAAGCATTGAGTTTGATTTTATGTAGGTTTATGCTCAATCAATCGGAGCTGCTTGTCAGCTGGATTGGCCAAAGGACCGAATATTAATTCAAGTGCTGGACGATTCAAACGATGGACATGTGCAGCTTCTGATTAAAGAAGAGGTTTCCTCATGGAAAGAGAAAGGGGTGAACATTGTGTACAGGCATAGATTGATCAGAACTGGGTACAAAGCTGGGAATCTCAAGTCAGCTATGTCATGTGACTATGTTAAAGATTACGAGTTCGTGGCAATTTTCGATGCAGATTTCCAGCCAAACCCTGATTTCCTAAAACAAACCATCCCCCATTTCAAGGTACGATCACGAAAACTCAAATAAGGACAAGTCTGAAAACTACTTTCTCTAATCTGGACAAAATCTCTTGAAAAGGGTGTCGTGACATTTTTATTTTACAGGGAAAGCCGGATGTGGGCCTGGTTCAGGCTAGATGGGCCTTTGTGAACAAAGATGAGAACTTACTCACGAGGCTTCAGAACATTAACCTGTGCTTTCACTTTGAGGTGGAGCAACAAGTGAATGGCCATTTCCTTAATTTCTTCGGATTCAATGGAACAGCAGGTGTATGGAGGATAAAGGCCTTGGAGGAGTCTGGGGGATGGCTGGAGAGAACCACAGTGGAAGATATGGATATAGCTGTCCGAGCACACTTGAAAGGCTGGAAGTTCATCTTCCTTAACGATGTCAAAGTGCTTTGTGAATTACCAGAGTCTTACGAGGCGTACAAGAAACAACAACATCGCTGGCATTCCGGTCCAATGCAGCTTTTCCGTCTCTGTCTTCCAGCTATAATAACTTCCAAGGTCTTACTGATTTCCCACTTCTTTTATATCTAGGAGATCATTTTTAATGCCAATATAGTATGTGAAGATTTTTTTTCACAGTTCAACATCACGCAGCACAAATAGGTACCAGCTAGCCAGTGTCTACTATTTAGTCATCACACTGGGATATATGCATATGGTCTTCTCAAATCTGATCTGGTTTTGTGCAGATAAAAGCATGCAAGAAGGCAAACTTGATCTTTCTTTTCTTCCTACTGAGGAAACTTATACTACCCTTCTATTCATTCACATTGTTCTGTATCATCCTTCCCTTGACCATGTTCATACCTGAAGCTGAACTACCCCTTTGGGTGATCTGCTACGTCCCCATTTTCATGTCTTTCTTGAACATACTTCCAGCTCCAAAATCTGTCCCATTTTTAGTCCCTTACCTGCTTTTTGAGAACACCATGTCCGTGACAAAATTCAATGCCATGGTTTCTGGGCTGTTTCAACTAGGAAGTGCTTATGAGTGGGTGGTGACAAAGAAGACTGGTAGATCATCCGAGTCCGATTTGTTATCCCTGGCTGAGAGAGAATCAAAGTCCTCGGGTGAAGATAAAATCCTGAGGAGGCATTCCGAGTCTGGCTTGGAGTTACTAACCAAACTCAAACAAGTGGAAGCACCTAAGAAGAGAAACAGAATCTACAGGAAGGAGCTGGCGCTTGCTTTTCTTTTACTCACAGCATCTGCCAGGAGCCTTCTATCAGCACATGGGGTCCATTTCTATTTCCTGCTTTTCCAAGGACTGTCATTTCTGATAATGGGTTTGGATTTAATCGGCGAGCAGGTGGACTGAAATCTATATCACGGCGTGGAACTGTTCTAGGGTTGTTTAAGTTCATATGATACAATTATTATCTGAAAGATCGAAATGATCAGCAGGCAAAGAAACATGAGAGGTGAAAGTAGAGTTGATGATATAATCAGAAAGTATAAAGAATAATAAGAATTGAGGATCCATAGGAAAAGAATCTCTGCTCATTTTTTTATTTTTTTGGGGGGGTTTAATTATCAGAAATTGGTGATTCATTTGGCTGCTGTGGATTTTACTAATGTAAAGCTTTTAGCTTTTAGACCTAAGAATATAATGTTGGAGCATAACTGTATTTATTGTTTCGGGCATCGTCGGCTTGTGATATGGTACAACCTGTCCTCCTTATAAAAGAAATCTCCATGTTAAGGCGGAGACTATGGTTCAACCAGTTTCATCTGCGCCAGTAAATCCGCGTAGTAACAATTTGACCATTGTCATTATCATTAATTTTAACTACTTATGGCACATGCCCATTTTACACTCGAATACAAAAATCCCAATTCAAACGATCATTTCCGCATTAACGAGGTCATCCCACGGTGAAAGAATAATCATTCAGGATTCGTTTTTACAGACTTCATAGTTGTGTCAGTTCATAGGCACGTGCACACGGGTACTGAAGTTGTCGGCGCTAACGGGTTTGTCTTGTGCTATTGACTGGGTAATTCCACTAATAACAATTGGAGCATTATGTTTGATTTTAATCACATGCCCATGTTGCATCTCAAATACGAAGGCCACAAAGTCCACTCTAGGCAGGTTATTTAAACTCACAATAATAGTATGGCTATTTTTGGCAAAAAAAAGAGAGAGAGAGACAGAGGTATGGCCATGTGAATCTGAACCAGTGTTCACAAACCTCGTCGTTTCATGCGTACATCATATGCGAATTTTATTCTTTATTTCCCCTTTCTTGGGCCATGGTGCTGGTCCGGGACAGAAGTTTCTGCCCACTAATACTAAAGCAAACGGCATCATCAAGGACAGACTTTTCTTTTTCACGCTCTAAAATGACAGTCATTAAACTTTTTTTTAAAAAAAAAGCAACGAAGTTCATTTTTGCTATTTTTCAATAACGAAATGATTCCCGTTAAAACCATGATATTACCTCAAGTACGTATACGCTTTTCACTTAATGATATATCCTACTTGACACGGTGCGTGATGGATTCAATTTCTCTTTTTCTTTTTCTCCGTCCACACATTTAAAAAATGCAGTATATCAGTAGTTATAATAAATATTAGTGACATAGTTTTATTTTAATATTATATTCATGAATCGTGTAGTTCATTTCAAATGCATTTAAATCAATCAATCAACTTCTTTATTCAAGGTCCGTAACTCGAGATTGATTGGTCAACATTTCTCTCTCTCTTTTTTCATTGGTAGATTTTAATTTTATTTTAAATTTGATTGGTCACAAATTCGCTTATCCGAATGTTTATGCCTCTTAACCCCCCTTTGCGTTCACACCTAAAGAAGCGGTGTGTTCGCATTGCTTTCGTTTGTTTTTGGTTTTTTTTCCCTCTACTCCTTCTGTTTTATTCCCTTGGTGCTGAATGGTTATTACTTCCCTGTCTCGTTCTGTTCAGTAAATGTGAGTATTCGGTTTTCTCCGCTTTCCTTTTATCATCGGTTCTTTTCTTTTAATTTTTCAAAATCCAAAAGCTCGGTCTTCTGCTATCGGTGCTCCTTTAACAATTTCTTTGTATTATGCTATCCCCAGGTGATCCTCTATTGCCTTCATCCTTTCTCATTCATATGCTCTAATTAGATTTTAATTACATTGTAATACTTCATTCGTTACTTGTTGATTTGTTATTAATTCAAATTTTTTATAAGAATTTTTTGTTAAATAAAATGAATGCTTAATAGTTGTTTTGCCATATGTAATACTTAACTCCTTCAAAGATGAAAATTTATTGAAATATATGTTCAAAAAATTAATATTAACAATTATTGGACTCGTTTGAATTTCAATTTAATATAATTAATTATAAAAATAATTGAGTAATATAATTAATTTTAGCTATAATTACTTATGCTATAACTCAATCTGTTTCATATTGAAATTGATTTTAGTTATAAAATTATCATAAAAACATTACTTTTTAAAATTAAATTATTCATAAAGTTGTATTTAATATTATTAAATTTTTTAAATTTTATTTAAGAAGTAAAATATATTATTTAACAGTAAAATTAAATTTATAAGTAATCTTTTAGAGTTTATTTCACAATGCAATTTTGACTTAATAATTAATAATTAATTTTTTTTTGCTGTTTGATAATTTTTTTAAAAAAACGATCATTTAAGCCCTATAATCGATTGTAAAGTCTTCCCAATCAAGCAGTATAATTGTTTCGTTCAGGCCAGTTTAGAATATACTTCATCCATATGGATGATGTCATGAGAACCAGGTGGTGGGCCTCAGGTAATTCAATTATGGGCCTCCATGGACGCCATTCTTCTGTTTCCCGCCAAAGCCCATTAAGCCTAACAGCAATTTGCCGCTACAGGTGCAGTTCAGCTCCCTCTCGCTTCGCTCCCCGCTGATTTCACTTCACTAGGCTCCTTCCCCGAAAAACACTGCTCCTCGCTGCTCGTCTTGTCCTCTCACTTTTCATTCAAACCCTCTTTCACACACTGTTTTGAAACTTCGAAGCTTAAATCACCGTCCCCATCGCCCTTCAACATTTTGTCCTCCTTCTTCGATTTTGGGCGTTAGGTTTTGAGGTGATCATCAGTGATTCTGGAACTGGGTTGGTGCACCACGCAATGAACAACTAGTTTTAGGATCGTCGAGCGAGTTTTTTCTCGTCCTTTTGTTAACTAAGGATCTAAGATGCTGGTCTCTTGCTTGCAGATTCCTAATGTCGGAAGAGAAGGATGCTTTCTACCTTGTCAAGAAGGGTGACGTTGTTGGCATTTACAAGAGTTTGAGTGACATCCAAGTTCATCTTGCATCTTCAGTAAATACTGTTAAGCTTAGCTGTTTGACGTATAATCTGTCTTGGGTTGCACATGAGATAGCCGAAGAATTTTTCATTTTCATGAAGTTCGTGGGATTTTTTTTTTTTTTGGTTATCAGAACTTTACTAAACTAATGGGATTGACTTCAAGTTGCTGGCAACCTTTTTTTTTTTTTTTGTGTGTTTGCTATGTTCTCCCATTTGATTATTCACATTTCGCACTTTCCAACAGGTTGGCTCCTTAGAGATTTACAAAGGATGTTCTTTATCGAAGAAAGCTGAGGAGCACCTTGCCTTGCACGGGATTAAGGAAGCTGCCTACTCTATCAGTGCCGCTGATGTGAGCGAAGGACTTTTTGGAAGAATTGTTGCATGTCCTTATCAGGTTCGAGCGCCATAGGCACTGTTCCGTTTTGTCTAAGTGCATGATAATGTTGTTTTATCGTCGTTAAACTCTTAATTTTCTTTCTCATTTGCTACTCCAAAGCTCATGAAATTTGTATCTCCAGCTAGTTTGAAATTTGAAAAACTCAAGATAAATTAAACTTGGTCTATTTTTCTTCCAGCAACCATCTCATTCTGGGGGAAAAGCATCTGACATAAATTTACCATCAAAGGTGTTGCGAGGAGCTGATCAACTTGATAACAATGTAAGTTGTTAATGTTAATGTAAAATTAAAATTATGTACTTCTAGGTTATTCACGCATTTGGGTCGTTCAGTGACCACAATTCATCTGAAGATCAGACGCATGTCTCAGGTCTAGTGCGTCTTTAACCACCTTAGATTTGGTAGGATGTAAATTATGATGCCAAATCTATAATCCTGTAATTTGGAAACTAAATTATGATTTATCATATTTGCCAGTTGAACGTGGTTGGACCATCATTATTTTCATCAAATTCTGACAGGCGTCAAATTTTTAATGCAGCTCAATCGGATCTGTCGACTTGTGTAAGTTGGTTTATTTATGATCTGCATTGTTAATATCAGTATGCATTAGAAAGTGGTAGGTCTGTTACTTCTGGTAGTCATATTTAAGTGTGTTATGGTCATCCTCTAGGTGGTTCATATCCAAGACAGATGTTTCAATTTTGGGGTATGCTCACATTTTGGCACTTGAAAAATGTATAATTTATGCTAGTGTGTGCATTTAATGATCCTGTCGCTGTAGACTGGTTGCCTTTACTGGTTAGCCAGGATAAAATTGCACTAGGACCATTGGGACAATGCAGCATCCAGAGGGCTGTCCTGAACTCCTCCTCGACAGTGAGAATCTCAAGGCTTATTATAATCATTTTCAATCAAGCCACACTTATCCTTCAGTTTTATCCAGAAACATGTGATGTGTTGGATGAAACTAGGTGAAATTTATATAAATATCACTTGTCTGCTAAGGTTTAACTCTGCAATTCACAGGCTGTCCAGTTTATTCAGTCCCTTTACTGCTGTTTAACGTTCTTATTCTCCATCCTGACATTAGATATGGTTTAAAACATCCAATTTCATTTAATGAAGCAGTTAGTTTTGCTGTGAGAGCTCATATGTGTAATGAATTATCTTTGCTCTCCTGATTGGCTGGGATTTGTTGGTTCAAAATATGTTCAAAAGTCAAAAAAACTATATCCTGTTGAATGATAATATAGCTTTGTTGTGCATTGAAGTAGGTCTTTAATTTTCTGTAAATGTGTTGAAAGTTTGTTTCTCTTTGAAACTTAGAAATTCTGCCTTTAGATGGCGGAGCTTTCCTTTTTTTTTTTTTTAATTATGGCTTTTATCATCTATAGTTGTGTTTTTTTATTGTTATATTGATATCTATTCCTTAACTTACTGTGGCATACCTTTTCAAATTAATTATTGCAACAATGAACCGTAGTCATATCTTGTGCCTGATTGGATAGCTTCTATAATCAATTTTAGAGGTCAAAATCATGATTTTGTGAAAATATATCCAAACACCCCTATTTCATGTTAAAATCAATTATGAACCTAAAATCATATTTTCCTAAAAGAATTCAAATACTAATTATACATGCCAAAATCAATTTTGAACCCAAAATCATTTTTTTCTTTAAAATATTCAAGCACCTCTATATATGTCAAAATCAATTATAAATCCAAAAATATGATTTGTAATATAGTTTATATGATTTTTGGATAAATTTTTAGAAAAGTATAATTGAAATTTTAAATTGAAAAACAGGTAATAATAGCTTATGAGATAACTGTAGTTTTGGGTTCATAATTGGTTTTAGCATGAATGGGGTATTTGGATATTTTTAAAAAAACCATGGTTTTGGGTAGAGTTGGGAATTCGGGCGGGCCGGGTCCGAATAAGCCGGAACCCGAACGAGCCCGCTTCCTCGAAAAGCCCGAATAGCCAAGCCCGGCCCGAATTCCTTCGGGCTTCGGGCGGCCCGAATACCCGAATTTAATTTTTAAAATTATTTTTAATTATTTTTTTACTTTGAAATTAATTATTTTATTTTATAAAAAATATAAAATATATTTTTTTAATACTTAAATGATGTCTAGGACTCAAATATATGGTATTTTAGTATAAAATGATTTAAAACTTAAAGAATTAATTAATATTTATTATATTATATATATTTTTTAAAAATATAATTTTTTTATTCGGGTATTCGGTCGGGCTTGGCCCGAATTTTTCGGGCCTATTCGAACATAAAAAAATACTTTTTTTCCTAAGCCCGGCCCTAAAATTTTTCGGGCCAATTCGGGCTAGCCCGTCGGGCTTGGCCCGAATTACCGACTCTAGTTTTGGGTTCATAATTGATTTTGGCTTGTATAATAGGTGTTTGGATATATTTTCACAAAATCATGGTTTCACCTTATTTTCAATTCTGCTTTTCAATTTTGATTAAAAGTAATCTTATTAATCAACTTTATAAATTAATTATATATATCACATAACATAATAAATTATCTTCAAAATCAATCACATTAATCAATTTTTTTCATAATCAATTTCAACAAGCTGAAATCCAAACACACCCCTTTTCTTCAGCTTTCTTGTATTATTGAGTTTGATGGCGCTGCAAAGGGGAATCCTGGACCAGCTGGTGCAGGAGCTGTGCTGCGTGCTGAAGATGGAAGCAAGGTATAAGTTGTCTTCTCTTTTTCTTTTTAAATATTCTTTGCAAAACGTGGCTCACTGAGTTGCCTTTGTAGGTCTGTCGATTGCGTGAAGGAGTGGGCTCATCAACAAATAATGTTGCTGAATATCGGGCTCTAATTTTAGGATTGAAACATGCCACTAAGAGAGGATATAAGCACATCCGTGTCCAAGGAGACTCCTTGCTTGTCTGCAATCAGGTTTGTCATTTCGTTTCTGGAGTGTGCATCATTCTTCACATGTTCAATTTATGTATACTGCTCTCCATCCCCTGCTCACTCATTTTTGTTTTTCTGTTTTATCGTTGTGTAATTAAAATTAAGGAAAGAGGGAAAGCTTGGCATATTTACGTGGAAATTTTGTAGTAGTACTTCCAGCCAGCAATTGCATGTGACATATTATACCTTATAGGCACCCCAATCAAATGAAAACATTTGGATTCATTTAATTCAAATCCTTCTACAATGTCGGATATAATATTGAATTGAAATCAAACTGCTACTTGCGTTGTAGTTGCACATTTTCTGCTTTTTAGTTTATGTTCATTAATCTTGTAACAGATGAAGGGTTCCTGGAAAACGAAAAATGCAAATATGGCTTTCTTATGTAATGAGGCCAAGGAGCTGACGAGCAAGTTTTTATCATTCCAAATCAACCATGTTCTGAGGGTATTTTTTTACTTTTAGCTCTGTACGATATATAAAAAAGAGAAAATTTTAGCAGAATGTCCCCTTTTCTTGTTTACCTATAAAGTTTCGTGCATTCCAATTCGAGTGGCCCATTTTACTGGCGTGATTGAGAATTTTATTTTGCTTGGAATGCAGCTAGACAGAATTAGTAACAGTGCTCTCTTCTCATGCATTTGCTGTGCAATTACTTTTGTTTAATACTAATTAAGTTCCCTGTATACAAAGAAGCCAGAAAACCCGGCCGTAAATGATGGTTTTCATATAATCTGGATCATCTTCTCCCTGCGGCGCTTCCTTCTTATACATCAATGCACAAGAATCCGCAAATCCTATCCAGGAAATTTCCTCTTCATGTCCCCTCTCCTTTTGTATTTACATGTTTTGAATTTCATACCTCTGGTACTCAAGTTTATGGAGTACTGTTCTGCTTCCTCCTCCTCCTCCTCCTTCTCGTAATGTTAACAATCACCATGTGTTCCTCAGCTTCAGAGGCGAGGACATAAGCAACACTTTTGCCGGCCATCTTCATGCTGCCTCAACCAGGAAACACATTAAAACCTATGTAGGCTACAATCTCCTGAAAAGGCACGAAGTATCTGCCTCACTGGCTAAAGCCATGGAGGAAGCCAAGCCTTCTGTGGTTATTTTCTCTAAGAACTATGCTTCTTCCAAGAGTGTTTGAATCATAGGCATGATAGCTGAATTATTGCTAATGAAACGTATGGTTCCAGTCTTCACAAATTCTTGACTAGTACAAATAGCATTATGCTACTAATTATGTGAAATATAAACGTAGTTATCTTTTTTTCTTTTCTTTCCTTTTCTTCTTAGTTTGTGTTTACCTCACTGGTAATCTGTCTGTAATTAACGTCTTCTATTCATGTTTAAGGAATATAACTCCGAAGCTGATGTCCAAGCAAACCTGGCTGTAAATCTTAGAGGTAAAGCCTTTTCCCCACCAGGCTTATATTTTTTCTGTTTTTGTTTTCCTAGTTCAAACCATGAATTATTTATTTTTCTTTCTTTCTCTTGGATTTCTAATCCGAGAATATTTATACTGCATGCAAAATGAAAATGTGCGCCAAAGCAGCTCATAATACTCACCAGATTTTTATATTTTAGACTTAGTATAATGCTTCTCCTTAAAAATGTCCATCTCATTTTGAGCAACTGAACAATTTGTCAACGGGGCCAAATTCATATGTTGATATTTGTTTGGACGAATCAAAAGCTGATTGATTTCTATGTATATGCAGCTGGCCAGGTCGAAGAAGATTGTCAGTGCTAATACCTTCACTTTATGCAGGTGAAGGAACCTGTTAAATATTTCTGAATATATAGACAAACCCTATTTTGGCCCCCATTAGATGTGGTTATCCCTCACAAATGTTCCCGTTATTATAATTTAAGCCCCTCTGTGCAGTCCCCTGTTTTCTTTTAAACCCTCTTCAATTAGACATTGCTTCCCAATCACCTCCTTGGTAGATTCTTTGGTTCTTGCCTTCTTGGTCGAGTGGCATGCATATGCAGAACTCTTGTATCTCCTATATTGCAGCATTTGTATCAGCCTTGGACGCCTCATCTTCTATACTATTCTACGTTGAATTTGATGAAAGGATGAATCATTTTAGGATACTAGATATTGAGAGTAGTCCAAAGAAGATTACTGGGGAAAACAAATAACTTATTTGGTTTTTAACTTTTTCATAATTTTAAAAAGCATTTTGCAATTGGTTTTTATAATTTTCATTTTTTTCAAAAATAAGAAAACGGAAACATTTGGAGTTTTTTATTGTTTTTTGTCCCAGAAACATTTACGACTGACAATAACGCCCAATGTTTTTTTTTTTTAATAGAATACGATCTATGGGTTTTTTGCATAGTTGTAATTTTTTGTTTTTGGATTCCACGGTCATTTAGTATTTGCTCAATTGATCTCTCTTGACTATCTATGAGGAAGTTTTATTTTTGTTTCATTCTTAATTTTTCGTGACTGTTTTGCAAAGCAATTTTGAAAACAAAAATTGGATAATGGATACAATGCCCTCTTAGGCCGAAATCAAACATGTCCTCAATCTCTTGGAGGGCGCTTTGTCGTCTGGTCACAGTGCATTCTTTTCGATGAGGTAATTTTGAAAAACCATTGGTGGATTTATAGATGTTTCGCACTTTCATTCCCAAAAAAAAAAAAAAAACCATCGATGGATTCACCGGGAAAAAAAGTTTCATTGGTTGCCATGGTTTCGTTTTAAAAATAAATAGGGTTACATGCCCCTCAGGCGGTAGTACTCCCTTTAGTTATTATTATAAGGTATTTTTTAAAAAGATTCATTAGTTCTTGATATTAGGCACTTAATGAGTATTAATTACAGTTTGTTATATTATCTTTATTTAAATTTATTAATTATAAGAGAGAATATAATGTAAATTTAAAAATGTTTATTTAAATAAGAATAAAATTAAAAATTTATTTTATTTTCAACAAAGTTAATGATTTAGTCATTTTTTAGTCCAAAAAACAAGTAGTTTAAAGTGTAAGGATCTTCAGGCAAAAAAAGAAAAATAATAAAAGTGTGAGGATCATGGCGTTACTCTTGTAATTAATTGTATACTAGAAATCGCTTATGTAACTCTTAAATGTAAGACTTAATTTATTCATAAATATTAATAAAATTAGTTAAGTTAGTTATTTGATATTACTCTCTCTATTTCAATTTATAAAATATTTTTGTAAGGCAAGAATCAATAATTTAGGTTGAACCCGACAAGCTAGCTCAAATAAGTTTGAAGAAATTTAGGATCAAGTTTATTAAAACTACATTTTTAAATGTTAAGGTCTATTTGGACTAGCGTGAATAGGCTTAAAAAAATTTTTGATTATACATCCAAAAGTACTCTAGCTAAGCCCATTCAGGTTTGGACTTAATATGAAATGAAAAAATCATTGCAAAAAATATATTAAATATTAATGAATTATTTGAGTTTTAGGTCATTTAATGTTAAAATATTATATATTTGAATATATTGTTATGGATATTTTAAAAAAATAAAAATATTTATTGTCAATTTTTTATAATTTTAACCTATAAAATATTATAAATAATATTTAAAATGTATTTTAATATTAATTTTAAAATTTTAAGATCCACATATTTTTTTAAAAAAAAATTTGGGTCTTCCACATCCTTTAGGTATCTTAAAAAGTTAAATTTTTATAAAATAAAAACAATTAATTTTAAAGTAAAAACTAAAAAAATTAATGTTATAAATAAAAATTTTGTTAATTTGAATATTTGGATTGGCTCAAAGTTCAAAAAGGTTCAGCTTAGGCTTGGCCATTTGGGATATTTAAGAAGTTCATGCCTGTGGGTTGAGGCTATTCGAGCTTAAGCTCAACCTGCATGAATTATTGGTTTTAAATTTAACATCATTTGATATAAAATATTTTGATGAAAATAAAATTTTATTTATAATATTTTTCCAATACTATAATTTCTATTATATTCTCTTTTTTTAATATTTTGTTGTAAATAAAGTATTAAATGAAGGATATTTTTAAAAATTTAAATTTTTTAAAAAAAATAAGGTTACAGAGTGTATTGAAACTGTATTAATATATGAAAATTTGTTAAAAAATATTTTATAATTTAGGATAGATGTAATAATATATAAATAAGTGTCACTTTTTTAAAATACTCAAATTTCAGTGAGTTTATATACATATATTAAGTGCAGTAGATAGATAAAGGAAGAGAAAAATTATATATGAATGATGTGAAAAATATTAAACTAAGTGAGATGAAAAATATTGATATTTTATGTTTATGATTAAAATAAATTACCCAACTAAATTTTATATTTAGGACAGAGAGAATTAACTTGCAAGTCCTCATAGTTTTTGTCAAATTTTAAATTGGGTTCCTGTATTTTATTTTAATTAAACCTTTATAATTTGATTTATTAAATGTGTTAATTCTTGGATATTAGAATTAATAATGGATTATTAAATTTTTCAAAAAAAAATTTAGAGTTTAAAGAAAGCTGAATTTAATATTTTTAGTCAAAAGATAAAAAAATTTGATTTACTATACTATTTAAATTTTTATTTATTTTTGATACAAATTATGTAAGTACAAAAATATTTTATGAATAATGTAATTATATCAATTTTAAGTTATAAAAATTACGTAATTAATAATAAATTTATACAATCATTTAATAAAGATATAAAATTTCTTAATTTTGTTTTTTAAAGATTTAAATTTTAAGGTTTAAAAAATTTAATTAATCAAATTATAAAAATTAAGTTAAATAAAATAAATTTCAGGATATAATTTAAATTTTAAAAATTTTTAAAGACTTTTAAATATATATTTTTTACAAGATAAAATAAGTAAACAAGAATTTAGCAAGAGGAGTGCGGTAGCAGTGACGACGTTTAGCATTTGGTATCTGGACGCGTTCCCCGTCTGAGCTACGTGGCCTTTTTTAATTGGAGGAATAGTAGAAAAGCTCAACGGATTGGGAGACATCGGGACAAGACCAGTTTAGAAGCACACAGATTTGGCTCTTCAACTCTTGAGCTCCATCCATTTCACCGGAAACACAAGCAGAGTGATTCATGATGGTCTCAATATCGGCATTTTCGTCTCTCCTCCCGTTTTGCTCCACTCGTAGAATTGCCGGTCCTTCTCCGTCCTTGGCTTTTCGAAAATTCCACTCGCAGTCTTGTATTATCCCCACTTCAACTTTCACCCTTGGAGCTCTGAAACAGCAGAGAAGTAAGAATCCTAGACTGAGATTGGTGAAGGCGGTAGAAGAAGAAACCGAGGTTCCACAGCAACAAGACAACCCACAGGGAGAACCATCAACGTCTGAACAGCAACCTGTTGTAGTTCCCGTTTCCCCATCGGATACTCTTAGCATGTTCTTTCAGGTACCTCTAGTTTTTTCATCGTCCAACAGCTGTTTGATGTAATGCCTATATGAAAACTTATTTGATTTTTGACAATTCAAAGACCGTGCTAATTCTATTCCTGTTACCGTTGATTTTGCTCACAAAAAAACCATTATTTTCACTTATCCAATTAACAGTTTCCGTAAGCTATTATGGCCTTGGAATTGACCAGAAAACTCTTTGATAGTCCAGTTCTCTCGGTTGAATGGTTTGTATATGTTATTGCAATTGGGTCTTCATTTAGAAACTTTATGGTTTGTGTTATTTATAAGTGACTTACACTTTACCTGTTCGAAATTTGAAGGCTGAGGGAACACTGAGCGAATCAGCCATTCCAGCGGTCACCAAAGCCTTAGAGGTGACAAATCCGACATTTTTAGTTTACTTTCTTTTTTCTGTGAACATAGTTTTGAGGCTAATTATACTTTTATTTGAGTTCCCTGATGAACTCAGTGGTGCTGATAGTGTTGCTTGCTTATTACTGGAATCTAGTTTGTAAAATAAATATCTATGTTTTTCGTGTCTTAAAGACATGGGGGCAATTTGATGGGTTGGTTGGTACTGGTATAAATATTTTTGAGTTGCCTATTTTGACAACATACTGTGATTTGGAATCTTCATCAAGCCATGACATTTTATGCATCAACGTTCAATTAAAAATAGTTTGTTAAATCTGTCAGTGTTTATGCAATAAGGCTACTGCACACATTCTTTAATCTTTTAATACAATCTGGACCACCTGGGATCACAATATGGTTTAGACTTTAGAATGAATGTTGATAATTTATGTGGGAATTGGGTAGCTATAGCAGGCCTTGTATTTGAGGTGAAGAATAGAGAAGCAAAGGATGACACCGAATATTGTGTGAAAATACAAAATAATGTGATCATAGCTTGTACCTGTAATCTGTTACAATATCTGAAATTTCTGCATGTAAATTTGATATGTATTCATTATTTTATGGTATATACTGCTTTCACTATGGAAATGAAGTGGAGCCAGTGTGTCTTGTTTGTGACAACAACTGTAACTTAATCTAGTCATATGAGTTTCGCTTAACTTTATTCTGTGAAATAATTTGTTGACGTTTGTCTCTATCCTATTGAGTATGTTGACCTCCAAACATGCTCATTATTATTCTTTCAAACTTTTGTAGGGGATGGAGGGTGTTACAGATTTGAAGGTTCAGATTGTTGAGGGAATTGCGAGTGTTGAGGTATCTTTAATGTACTCAAATATTATTAATATATATATTTTCTTGCTATACATTATCAGAAATAGCGGCCAGCAGGATTTAAATTACAATGTGATACAACCTTATTTGCTTGGTTTGCAATCCTCAAATTACTCTTAATATTCCATGGCAAATGTAGTTCAAACCGTCAAATACATTATACCTTCAACTATAAATGCTCTCAAACTTAATACGTTTCAACTTGGGCTCACGCAACAACTGATATGGAACAAGATCCTAGCCCATTACTAATCCTTGACTATAAGTCGATTTTTGTTTGTTCAAAAAGTCATCAGTATATAACTTTGCTGTACTCAAATTGTACAATTTGACATTTCGATGTCATTGCTAACCATTTGTGCTCCAATGCAGTTGAAAAAACAGACTACAGTACAAGCTACAGGTGTGGCTTCGGGTCTGGTAGAAACTATACAGGGTTCGGGCTTTAAATTACAAACATTAAATCTGAGTTTTGAGGATGAAGAGGATGCAGCTGCTTAGACTTAATGTGCTGTACTTAGAGGGTGAAAACATTTCATAGTTTCCAGATTATAGCCTCCTGCATCCATTACAGTGTGGTTAAGCCAAAGTAGTGGTGTTGATTATTATTATTATTATTTGTAAGCCGAGGGAGCAGCCAAATCATTTCATTCTCATGTGAGCTGTTATCTAAATGCAGGATGTTGATTGTTTTGTAATTGCACTTTTAGTAGGCATTAGGCTAGCATATCTCTCTCTGATATTGCACCAATCCGTGCTGGTAATGCATTTCTTGTTGACACAATCTCTCAGCTAAAGCAAATTTAGATATCTTTGTGAGGAGGTTATTTTTTATGTCATTGCATCCACCTACCTTATAAAATGGTATGTGCTTCGATTGATTTTCCTCTTTGTTGTGTTAGAGATCTGGGAAGTAACTAGGCGTGGGTTCTGTATATTGCATGGAATTTAATGAGCTATAAAGAATCGCTTCGTATAGATTTATATATTTTGTGACATTGGTGATGTTTTAATCATATTTTATTACACAACCAGGAAGTTGAAAAGTTTACAGATCAACTTATAAACTAAACTATTTACATCTTTATTTAAAAAATGGTAAAAGATTATGACGTGCAGTAGATAAGGCCGTCGGAGCTCATAAGCAAGTAAGGCAAATTGTTTAGGGTCCTAAAAAAACCTAAATAACATTAATATGTATGGATTAAATAGATATATTTATACTGTTATGTAATAAATGCTAAATGAAAAAAAAGTAAAGCTTAAATTTTTTCTCCCGTTGAAAACCTTTCTATATTTTTAAAATAACATTTAGTTATTAGATTTTTTTTAACTTAATTATTAATTATTATTTATTTTCTTTCTACAGTTCCCATCCTAACGTCATCATCTCTAACTCTCTTACTTTTGTCTTCACTTTTCCACTGTTTTCCTTTTTCTTATTTATATTCTAAAGCTTAAAAAAAACATTCATCATCAGACATCCTTTTTGCTGCAATCTTTTTTTATATTTTTGGATCCAATCAAAACATTGGAGCATGTACCATTGAGTAAGGCTCTGTGTTTTCATTTCTGTACTACTTATTATCAAACATATTTGTTCCTGTTTAATCTAAGCTTTATTTTTTAAAATACTCCATCCATTTAAAAATATAAAGTATTTTTAACTGAATCTCACTCTAATAAAATAGTTACCTATTTTTAAATAAACACTATTTTTTTATATTTATCCTTATTAAATATCCTATAATAAATATAAAGTCACTGTCAAGAGGAGCACTTAAAAAAAAGATAATAATTACACCTTGACAAATTAAAATTTTTTTATATTTTATAATATCTAACTTCTTAAAAAATGTCTTATATTTTTGAACGAAGGAGTACAAAATATTGAGTTTTTAAATTTTTTTTTTAGTAGTAAAAAATGTCAAGTAAAAGCATGAGGATCAATAAATTATTATATGTTGGGCCTTTTTATTTATTTTGTCTTAGACCTCAAAATCGGCCCTAGCAACAGTGATTTTTACGGAATGGCATTGATTATAGAATGATTTAAATAACTATGCATTATGTGGTCCTTCGAGATCTGTTTGCCGGTTAGATAGACACCTAAGCCATTAAAGATGTTTGACGATTAGGTTGGACGCTTGGAGAGAGGATATCGAAGTCAAAAAAAAAAATCTTTTCTTGTGTCAACATAGTCATAGCTTAAGCATGGTAGGTTGAATCTGGCTGTAATTAAATCAATTTCGCTCAACCTAACCCTATTGTAAGTAATGTCGGTGCCTTCAGGAAATGTAATTTTTCACTTGGCATGAATATCAAATGCAAGGAATGATGTGATTGCCGCATGTGTATCCCTTGGAGCTTCAATTAAAACAGAGCTCCAAGTTTCATCCGTTTAGTAAACAGAATGCAATGATAAAATATTTTCCAAGAACCAAACGAAACAATGAAGATTTGCATAATATTTTTATTGGCGGGCAAGAAAGTAAATTAACGTCCGCCTCCAAAAAAATTTTTTTTATCACTCGCACGGCACCCAACTCATCTTCCTTTTACCCTGCAAAGCATTTGGGTCAAGCAAACAAACAATGCGGTAACGAAGCTTTTACCTCGGCCCTCCCAAGGGGCTACAAACGAGGCGTTAATTGCAAACGTAAGATCAAAATCTGGTAATATGAGGACCCATCAATTTATATGTGATGTGACAAGTGCTCAATCAACCTTGAGAGAGAATTCGAAGTACCGTTGGATTCTCGGTCCTTTAAGATCATTAGCTAAATGGATCCGATTTCGGGGCTCGCTGAGCAGTGAGGTGCTCATCATTCAGAAAAGATTTAAACCATTTAAATTAAAAAATTTAAATGATTCAGATTTTAATTTTTAATTTTAATTTTATATTTTAAAAAAAAAAATTTATAAATTTTTTTATAAATATATTTGTCATCAATCTAAACAATACTGGTTCAATTTGAAAATTTGAGTAGTTCAATTTAATATTATAATTTTTATAAACTGACTATTTAGATATACTTTGAATAAGATAGATTCAATATTAAATTTTTTAACAATTTTTTATTTTAATAAATATAAAATAAAATTAAAAATTTTAAATTTAAAAATTACAGATAAAAATTTAATATTAAATTTGGATTATCCAGAGTATATTTAGATAATCAACTTATGAAAATTATAATATTAAATTGAATCATCTATATTAAATCAGTATTGATGATGAATATATTTATAAAAAAATTTATAATTTTTTATTTTTATAAATATAAAATTAAATTTAAATTTAAAAATTTTAGATGGCCCAGTATTTTTTTGTGTGATGAGCACATGGGTGCTCAGCAAGAGCATCAAAACTAGACCTTAGGGGTGTTCATGGAGCCCTGTTGCCCGACACGCCTGCCCAAACCTGATAAAATTTTGCCCAGCCCGGCCCAAAAAAAATAGCCCAACATGATTTGGGCATTTTTGGGCTGGGCTGATATTCGGGCAGGGCTGGGCAATGGGCAAGGTATGCTGCCCTGCCCGTTTGGCCCAGCCCAAAATGTGCTCATATATTTTTTTTTTGAATCCAAATTGTGGATCTGCTGTCTGCTTGAGTCCATCTGCCCAATGCCCAGCGTCCACAGCCCAACTCCAGCATTTCAATTTTCAGCCGGACCAATTGACCAAGCAAAGCATCAACAACTCAGCAATTAGCATTGCAGTGCAGGCTTAGAGTCAGCGATAGCGTCCCTCCCACCTATTATTCTCTAATCTTCAACCCTAGCCGTCTCTTCACTCTCCACTCCAGAGTCCAAACTCTAGAGTCCCGGCGATGTCTCAGGCTCAGCAATCAGCAATAGCATCACTGGATCAGCGACTTAACATCCCACAAGGCAGAAGCACAGACCAACACTGCCACACAGCTCAATCTTCAACCTTCATTCTCTAATCTCATCTCTCGTCGTGTCGTTCTCCCCTTACACTGCCACACCTTTGCTTGCCGTCGTTCTCCCCTCGGCCCTCACACAATCTTTATGGTTGCTGTCATTCTCCTCTCTCCCCTCTCCCTGTTCGAGTATTTCTCATAGTCACTCTCTTCGACTGTTCACCATCAGTCTCCACTGGTAGTCTGGCATGATATCGTCCGTTCAGCATTCGTCAACTCCAGCTGTGCGTGTTGATAGATTGCATGTTCTTCGACTTTATTTGTCCTGTTCACCTGTTTTGCTGTTCACTCATCTCTATCTCCAGTCTCCACTCTTAAATCTTATTCAGTTCACGTCTGCCCAGTGCCCAGGTTTTCAATTTGCTCTTCTTCATTTTTTTAGTGCAATAATCCTTCAATAGCAGTTACAAAATATATATATACCTAGAAAAGTACTTCACTGGAAACATAATGACATACGAACCTGATAAATCGAGGATGATATGCTCTACAGTTTCCTCAGTACTAGAACTCGCCTCGTATTGAATATACCTCATGATCCTATTTTATAGTTTTTAAATTCATAAAAAAGGGTCAATTACTTAGATTGTCATGATATATATATATATAGAGAGATAGAGAGAGAAGAAATATTACGTGCCTGTGTTTGATGTAGGAAGAGTTTGCAAAGTATATAGGAGAACCCAGTTGAATAATGAGAACACTTAGGATTAAGGTGGAACTTGGATAATGCTCAATGTCTCTGTACAAAGTCAAGTCTGGTATCTTCCAAGCCTGCATGATTTTTCCATATTAGTCTTTGATTTGATTTATTTCTGTCTGGAAAAAAAAAAGCTTTATTGATGAAAATAATGATATGAGATTGTGAGGGCAATTATGAGTTGAGTTCTGGCTTTATTGTTATAGATTATATTATAATGTATTAATGTTACATATATAATACATTACACACACTTTATCTGATTTGCTATTGATTTGATAAATGAATTTTATCCCAATTACTGTATAAGAAGAAAGTTGTTGAAAATGGCAAATTTCTTGTTTCCTAATCTATAATCGTTGCTTTTACATGACTGTTCTGCATCTCTATTATGTGTATTTCTTTGTGATTTTTATATCATTCAATAACAAGCTTGATTTGGTATTTTTATGAAATTTGTGGTTATGTAATTTTGTTATGCTGGCATGGAGGACCAAGCTTCAGTTGCATCACCTTTTGAAACATCTCAAACACCAACCCCTACTGGACCTTCCCATTCACCAACCCCTATCAAACCTACACAAACCCCAACCCATACTCCTCTTACAGAAACAGCAGCCCCTCCCCCTCTGCTTCCCCCTCCCCCTCAATTTGTCCCTCCACCTGCACCTCCTTCTCTTCCCCCTTGTGCTCCTCCCACCTAAACTCCCACAGAACATGTCACACAAGTAACAGATGCTAAGAGAAGGGGTCGAAAAAGGAAAGAAAAGGAACCTAAACATACATTAGAGGTGTGGGATTACTTTATTAGGTTGCCTATAGAAGAAACTAATGGGGAGCATAGAGCAGCATGCAAGTTTTGCCACACGACTTATGCTTCTGATCCATCACGCCATGGGACACATTCTTTGTTGAGGCACATCCCAAAGTGTCCAAAGAACCCTCACAAGGCCACCAAAGATAAGAAACAAGGAATGATAAATATGTTATCAGGTAGGATAAGTGGGCAAGGAAAATCTTTAGTCACTCACTTATATGATGAGAAGAGGTGTAGAAGAGCTCTTGCTAAATTTATCATTTGTGATGAGCAGTCGTTCAGAATTGTTGAGAAGCCTGCATTTAAGAAGTTGTTGAATGAGTTTGAACCTCGCTTTCCAATCCCTTCAAGAACAACAAGCGCGAGAGATGTGTGGCAGCTATATCTTGGTGCAGTAAAAGTGCTAAAGAAGATCTTGAAGCAATGTTCTAAGCGTGTTTGTCTCACGACAGATTGTTGGATGTCAAACCAAAATTTTAATTATTTGTGTTTGATGGCACATTTTATTGATAATGAATGGAAGCTTCATAAGAGGATCCTAAGTTTTGTTATGATTGAAAATCATAAAGGTGAGACTATAGGGAAGACCATTGAGCAATGCTTGTTGGATTGGGATATTAATAAGGTGTTCAGCATAACTATGGATAATGCTTCATCTAATGACATGGCTTTGGGATATCTTAAAAGAAGGTTGAGAAGTTGGAAAGGCTTGATTTATGGAGGAGACTATCTACAATTAAAATGTTGTGCACATGTTCTTAATTTGGTGGTCAATGAAGGCATCAAACACATGAAAGATAGTTTTAAAGCTATTCGAAGTGCTGTGAGATATGTTCGGTCTTCTCCTTCACGGTTTCTAAAATTTAAAAATTGGGTTGAATCTAAAAAAATAGAAACCAAGAGCCTTGTCTGCCTTGATGTTAGCACTCGATGGAATTCAACATATTTGATGTTGGAAGCTGCAATGAAGTTTCAAAAGGCGTTTGAGAGGATGCGTGATGAAGATGATGACTATATTGCATTCTTTAGCTCTAGGCAAGAGGGAGGTGTTTTCTCTGGCCCTATTCTTGATGATTGGAAAAATGCTAAAGTCTTCATCAAATTCTTGAAGGTCATTTATGACATAACTTTAAAATTTTCAAGCTCCCTTGTTGTAACATCAAATGATTGTTTACACCAAATTGCTCGTGTTCAGCAAATGTTGCAAAAGCATATTGGAAACAATGGTAATATTTTTTTAGGAGATATGAGCTTTAAGATGCATCTAAAGTTTGATAAGTATTTGGGTCATGCAGATAATATGAATCTATTGTTGATTGTGGCTGTGATCTTGGATCCTCGATACAAATTAGTTTATGTAAATCACATGTTTGAACTCCTTTTCAGTAACCCTGAGGAATGTGCATTGATGATGGAGAAGGTCAAAACTTGTTTGTATCGACTGTTTGACGAGTATTTTGTTGGGGTTCCTACTGAATTAGGGCCTACCCATACAAATAATGCATCTACAAGATCATTGCCCTCTCTTGATGATGATGATGATGATGACGACATTAAGGATCCAGGGGCAATGTGGTTAGAGTATTTGAAGCAAAGAACTTCAATGGATCCACAAAGTGAGCTAGATAGATATCTTGCAACTGATTCTAGAGCTAAAATCTCATCATCTGATTCTGAGCTTGACATACTATCATGGTGGAAAGCCAATTCTGAAAAATATAAAATTCTCTCCCACATGGCACGAGATGTATTGGCTATGCCAATTTTTACAGTGGCTTCTGAGTCTGCATTTAGTACTGGTGGACGTGTAGTTGATCAATATAGGAGCTCTTTATCTCTTAAAATGATAGAAGCATTGATTTGTGGGCAAAATTGGCTGCAAAGTGGGCAATCTCTCTCTGAGTTGGTTGATAAGCTCCATGAGTTTGATAACTTTAATAAGACAGAAAATATTATTCAGCTTACAAGTAACATATTTTTTTTCTAAAGTTTACACATGCACACATACACCCTTTATTTTAGTTTTTATATTAATGTAATTTTTTTTTGGTCTTCAGATGCAATACTTGGAGGGGAGAATGTGGCTGCTAGTGTTGATTGAAGTGTTTCTTTACAGGTATATCTTGACCCTTTATTAACTCTTTGAAAAATTAAATAAGTTTGTAAATTTGGTTAAGTTGGATGAAGTGGACACTAGTGATAGGTCCCTTATGCATGCATGCCCCTTACTGGTTTCCTTTATTCTGCTTTGCTATTTACCAAAGTTATGCTTCGACTACTGTAGATTCCATTTCTTTTGACTGCTTTTATCTAGAGGAGGGCAAATCTGATGCATTCCAGAGCAAATGTTGGCTTGCATGTGAGTTTCCTTTTACTCCATTCAAGATTCACCATGCATTTGCCTTGAATAAGGATTTTAATATGTTTAGTTATGACATATTTTTCCTCTTCCATTCATGCAGGTTGAGAGTTGGGAAGAAGTCTTTTGTGAATTGGAGTCTACTCTTTCAAATTGTTGTTTCTCATATGATGCTCTAAGTTTTTGTGAATTTTGTCGTTTTCAATGATCATAGCTGTTATTTTGGATTCAATTATGGATAATTTGATATTGTGACTGTTATCGTTATTGTGGATTTATGGTTTTGACTTTATAGATGCTATTTTCAGTTGATACATAGGACTATTGTTGATTTATGAAAGTTTTATTTTAAAATGATAAAAAGAGTTGTGATTTAATGGGTAGGGTGATTATTTGATGGGCTGGGCAAAGCTGCCCAACCAGCCCTGCCCAGCCCAAACTAATAGGGCATTTTATGGGCAGGGCTGGGCTTCGGGCTGTATTTTCTAGCCCATTCATTCTTTGGGCTGGGCATCGGGCAGGTTCCTGCCCAGCCCTGCGTTGTCCATGTGCACCCCTACTAGACCCTTAGCAAAATGCTGCACTTGGGAATTGGGACCCAAAAACTGGCTCTCACCTGTAAATATCTTGTGTTGGCCCAAAAAAAATAGCATATCTTGCCGGTGCCCTGTCAAACCCAGTACCGTTTTTCCCTTCATACATGATAATAGGATTCTAACAAAATATAATAAAATTAATTTAAATTATATAAATAATAATTTAACCTCTTAAAATGTCATAATTTTATAAACTTCTCTGTCATTAATGAATTTATATAAATGATAAAATTATCCTTATTGAAAATAAATAAGAAGTAACAATCACAAATTTTATTTAAATAACCACAATTTTTCTTTTTATATTCACAATAATGTAATAGCAAATTACAAGTTCACATGTCAAATTCCTGATATTACTATAAGTGTTAAAAATAACAAGTAATAATCATAAATTTTGTTTAAATAATCACAATTTTATTTTTTATATTCGTAATAATATAACAGCAAATTACAAGTTTGTATGGCAAATTCTTGATACTGCTACAAGGGCAACATAGCTATTTATATAAATTTATTAATGACAGAAAATTTTTTAGAGACTTTAGTATAATTATGACATTTTGAAAGACTACATTGTCATTTCTATAATTCAAAGATATTTTATTATTATTATTTTAAAAAATTTAACCTAAAAGTTATCGTGTTTGGTTGTCCAATTTTTGCACTCCTCACCGGCACCCCCCTTTTTTTTAATTAGAAGGACAAATACTAGTATTTTAAAATTTTAAGTAAGATTGAATATGTAACCTTTCATTTATAAAAGAACTTGCATATTATTAGGTTACGAGATTATTGGCACTCTCACTAAGCTACTGTCAATGACTTTGACACTGCCTAGTAGGTAACACACGCATATATTATGACAAAAATGTCTCGAGAGAAGGCTTGACTAAGGGTTAAGGCAACGATGAATCCAATCCAAGTGCCGATATTATTGGAAGAAGTTCCACTTGGGAGTTCATGTCATTTCATTGAGAATGAGAAATGCTGTTGAGTCTTGGTTTCAGAGTGGGTGTTTGTCATCTGTAACACTTTACCAGTTTAGTAACGTTATTATTGATGACGCTGAGCACTTGCGCTCAGGCTTTCAGGATATCATTTCTCCAATTTATTATTTTACTTGAATCTGCACCAGTCCATTTTCAACCTGCTACTTCAACTATTATTGCAATTATATCTTCAAAATTAAAAGTTTCATGCTTAGTTGCTGCAACGAACATTTTCAATCAAGCAGAATATATGCAACAGCAGCACTATTCATTTACCTCGAGTTTGGTAGGCTGTGGTTCGTCACGAAACCACCCTGGTGGCTATGTGTTTTCAAGTTCATGTCTTATTTTCACCGAATTTTATTCCCACTTTTTCTGCCATCAGAAACATTTGAAAGGCCAAGGCAATAATTTAACCAGAGATCATAAATAGTCCTGCCCTTTCTGGTCTTCAATCATATCACATAATAACTCCAAGCCTCCCACAACCTTACAAAACTCTCACAACTAGCGAGACACTTTACCATCTTGATAAAAAATTGTAGTTCGTGAACTTTGTACTATCATCTGGCCACAAGGATAAAAATACACACTCTGTGCCATCATTAGCTGTGTGGCATGCATCAGAGACCTGTTTTTAATCAATCCTCATAAAGTTGACTAGAATGAAGAGAAGAGAAGAGAAGGAAAAGCCCCACTTACCCGTACAGTGACAGCCATTTTTTGGGCCCACTCTTGCTCCTCTTTTGGTTATGTGGGTTGTGGTGGTTATTAGCTGTGATCATTTATTTTGACTGATAAATTTGATAAACCGGGTTGTGGGGTCAGAACTCAAAAGATAAGTCTAGCTGTCATGAACCAGAGAATTGCTTTCAAAATTTACATTACAAAATCTTGTGTGAAATAGATATGCTAATTTATAAGCAAGAGTGTTAGGGACCGCGTGGGTTCTAAGATCTTTTACTCTGCAAAGGTGACAGCAGTGCATCATTTATTTCTCACGTTTGCCCCTCTTCAAAATTTATCCGCACTGTATTCACTCGATGTCTCTATCCAGCGATCAAAAATCGAGATTGAAATTTCTCTCTCTACTCAAAGTGCCTCTATTTATATCACACCCTGCTTCTGCTTCGGCAATAGCATTACTGATCTGTTATTTGTTCTTGTCCTGCTTCTGCTTCACAGGAATGGCTTCCAACTCCAAATCTCCTCTTTTACTGCTGGCCATTTTTGTTTTGTTCATCAGTAATGTATGCTTCACTCTCTCCAACTGCTCAGCTTAAACAAGTAAACATGAAAAATTTTTCTTGCTTTGTGTGTCCTCAAGTGAAAATACCGCCTTCTTTCTTCATGTTATATGCAGGTTTCTTCTCATAACGATGAGCTTGTCAAACAGGTACGTTCGGCTTTGCTAATCGTTTCATAAAATCCTGATCTATTTCTATTTTTTGTCGGTACTTTCATGATATCTATATTTTCATTTCTACATGAAGTCTGGATTTTTCCTGCATCCTTCCCCCCCCCCCCCAAAAAAAAAAAAAACACACACACACACATAATGGTACTTGAAACAGGTGAAGCGCGCAAAACCACCCGTTTCTGCGGTGGTTCCTGTGGTTGCCCCTGCCCCATTGCCACCCGCGAAGCCATCAACTCCTCCACCTGCTCCAGCGGGAAAGGCACCAACCCCTCCACCGACGTCGGGGAATCCGGCGGCTCCGACACCACGGCCCCCAGTGGCTCCTCCGGTTGCTCCAGCCCCAGCCCCAGTAGCTCCCATAGTTAGATCAAACAAAGGTACTAATCAACATCAAGCTTGATATAACATGCTCTCACACAAAGTGAAGGATGATTGAGAAGGTGAAATATGAATGCAAATGCAGATTGCGTGCCACTGTGCGAGAATCGGTGCCAATTGCACTCGAGGAAGAGAGTGTGCGTAAGAGCATGCAGCACCTGCTGTGAACGGTGCCGGTGTGTTCCTCCGGGCACGTACGGCAACCGTGAAGTCTGTGGCAAGTGCTACACCGACATGGTCACACACGGCAACCGATACAAGTGCCCCTAGACTTGATCTTCCCGTTACAGCGTTTAATGTACTTAGCTATTTTCCTATTCCTAGCTGCTAAATCAGTGAGTCTCAAGTAATAATTAATTACTGCGTGAGGACTGAGAAGTGTGTTTATATACTAGACCATTGTCCAAGTGCCGCGTCTTCAACGCTAACACGCACTGTGTGTTGCGTTTTGTCGTGTTTCCTACTACCGGATTTGCTCCTACACCGTAATTTTAGAGCGTATTTCGTTTGATAATGATGATCTTGCAATTTATCACTTGGTCGAGTTAACAATTTTGAGGGGCAAGGACGTAGTTTGCTTGGTTACATGTTCTGTCCATTAATGGCCCGGCCCCATTAGATTGCATTCTGCGCCTTGCTACAACCGACTTCAAAGCAACGGGCAAGGCTTCACATTTACGGGCCACGTTATGGGCAGATAACAGCTTCTCCAGTTTTAGATTCAAATGATACTGAATAATCCCTAAATTAAAGTTTACATTGAGACTGAATTTTACTCGATTTAAAGTTTGATTTAATTTGTTATACCACAATTGAATACACGGTTTAATAATTGAAGTTCGGCTTTACAAATTCCTTTTGGTGAAAAAGTACGGTTTGTATAATTTGTCGCATTTGCATCACTTCTCTTCTTTGTTTTTGTTGGATGTAAATGATACCATCGTTGAATAATATTAAAATTAATAAAAATTAAATTTTATAATAAATATAACTTAAATCGTCTCTTTAAGAATTAATGAAATAAGTATTTAAATTGAGTATAAAAAGATAAATAATGGAAAATTTTTTATGATAAAATTAATTTAAAAAATTAAATTAAAAAAGTTGAGTTGAAAAAATTATCAAGAGCAAATAGCACAGTTAATTATAATTTAATCACTTAAATTTAATCTCCATCCTCTATAAAATAAATAAATTTTATTTAATTTTATTAGTTTAATTTATTATACATGTTTCAAATTATTATTCAAGAATTAAATAAAAAATTAAATTATAGATTAATTTAAATTTTATTTAACCCACAACCTAACAACTGTTACTAAAGATACCAAAAACAAAGTCTGAATAATCATCCATGCTAGACCAAATCGCTCTTAAGTCATTATATCAATCGATTATAGTAAGTAAAATTTTAAATAAAATTTATAATCCAAAAATTATTACTTTAATCAATAATAATAACGAAGGTATAAAATTTAGAAATAGAGAAAATAAGAATAAATTAAAATAAAGTTAAAATAAAATATTTATATTTTTTAAATATTAAAAATTTTAATTAAAATTTAAAATCTGATTACGGTAAAAAAAAATTAGTTCTCCATAATTTAAAACTTGTAAGTCACACCAACAAAACATGAAACGAGTGTCACCATGACAAGCTGAACCGAAATTGAAGGTAAGGAGGTCTGCGACTGCACGCGTCTCTGCTCCTCTCCACAATTTTCTGCCGCCAACGCTCCCTCTTTTCAATTCTAAAGTCGTCCGTGTCTTCCCAATTCCTCTCTATTTATTAAAAGTCGTGGGTCTCATTTTCATTCCGAAAGTTGTGTGTCTCTTGTGCAGCTGCGTCTTTTTTCTTTTCAAATAAACCATAATAATTTATTAAAAAAATAAAACTATCTCAAATAATCCTAATTAAAAACTGTACTAAAAAATATAAACAAGATTTTTAAAATTTAATTCTTAATCTAATCTCTGAGCATGTCCATATTTTTTTTTTGTTTAAAATAATCTCCATTAATATCTTTTAAATTGAATCTAAAAGATCTGTATAAATAAAATAAAATAAAATAACAACTATGTAAAAATATTAAAGATATTATTTATATTTTAAAGTTAGAGATTTAGTTAGTTAAAATTTAAAAGGAGAAGATTGGCTAATAAAATTAAATAATATTTAATTAAATTTAATTAATCTCAAATAAATATTTTAAAGTTTAAATTAAAACGGATAAAATATATAAAATTATTATTTATCCGTGAAAGAGGACGTCAATCCAAAAGGGATGCAAAAGGTATCATGCTACAACAAGGAACCTGTTTTTATCATCATCCGTTGACTATTGACAAAAAAAGCTTTCTAATACATTATAAGCATGTTGAACTGGCAAATGGGCACAGAAATTAGTCTTTCTATGCATAAAATTAAGCGACGCTACTCTAAAAATTCAAACAATAGTCACATCTCCAAAGGAATGTTGTCGGACATTTGATCTGACAGCAAGATTAATCACTTCAGCATAATTAGTAAGGGTATGAATTCTGTATAAATCCAATTGGCAACAAAGTTTAAGTCCTTGAATAATACCAATGATCTAAAAAATAATAGGAGCATAATGACCAATGTTTGAAGAAAAACCTGCTACTCATCAGCATTTCCATCTCAGATCACACCTCCACGTTTAAAGATGTCATCCTTATAAAAACCATCAACATTTAAGAGGATGTCATTACCTATTGGTCTGGTCCGTTGAGAATGAGAACCCTTCAACATCTTTGAGAGGTTGGTAGAGGCATTTTGCAAGTACCAATCAAACTTGGCTTTGTAGAAGATAGCCTCGTTCGAACAACCTCCTTTGGCATCATCATTATTGAATAAGTGTTTACATTTAATGCACCAAGTATGTGTTTGGTTTTTAATTTATTGAAAGTTTATTTAGAAAAATTAATTTAGTAAAAATCAATTATTATAATAAAATTTATATTTGAATATATTTTTTTAAAAGTTAATTTAATAAATTGAAAGTTATTTTGATTAATGATAACATGTGCTTTTGAAATATAATTTTGAATATACAATGATAAGAAAGGACATTAATTTATGATAATTTATAATTTTTGTTATATAAATGTAATATATTAAAAATGAAAAAAATTAGAATAACATAAAATTTAATATATTAAATAATAGAAATAAAAGATATAAATTTTAATATTGAAAAAATTATATAATAAATGGTTCAACATTCATTAATATTGAATGATTATGTGATTAATGATTTTATCATAATATACAGTCTGATTTTTAACAGAGTCATGAGCATTATTCATTTATTTATTAAAAACCGCACATGAAATTATTCTTATAATTGATAATGAAAATGCATGGCCATTGATATCTAACCTGTGGTTTGCATTGCAACGAAGGGCAACATGGTCAATGATACAATGAGTTTCAATGTCTTTTTCAAAGCACTTTTCAAAAGTTTATAAATTATAAGTTGCTAAATTCACATTCAATATATTTTTTAAAATCCTTTTAAAAAGTTTATTTATACTCATTACAACTATCTAAATAACATTTAGCATTTGAAAAGTGAGAAAGGATTTTCGAAATGTGGAATGTAACAAAACAAAAAAAGCCTTTTGAAGTGCGGAATCTTCCAACAAATATAACTAAAGGGCACATCCCAAGGTACTGGTTTTGCATTCTGTTGTCCAGCTGTATTTGCATCGCTTCTAGCTTCGTGTTTCTAATGTTTTGATGGGAATTAATCGTTTGTTTACACCCATTTTTACGTATATTAAAGAATATTTTTACTTTTAGTTTGTTTTTATCTATTAATATTTTTATTTTTATCTATTGGATTCGCTTCTTGAAAATTCCTTAAAATCATGTAATAATACAATAAGAGCTCATCTAAATAACTAAGTTTATTATACTCCAACATGAATTGCAATAGTTTTTTTTTTAGAAAATCAAGAAATCTATTGACAGAAATCAATACATAATGAATTGTTATTAAAATAAGAATATGAATTTTTTTTTAAATGAAACTTGTTATTGGTTCGTCTGTAAATAAATTCCTTAATAGGTTCTCGAGCATGGTTTTTTTTAAAAAAAAAAAAACCTAACATATAAGTTGATATAGCATCCCGTATTGGCATTGAAGTTATCAACTGGACATAGATGGGAGGAAAAAAAGGGAACAGAGATGAATTCGATTCAATTTCGAGGAAGTTTTAATTTTTAAATCGCCACTGTCAATCACTGGCTTATGATGAAAAAAACTGCAGGAGGAATGTGAATGAAGTTGGAGTATTTATTAACGCCTATATTCATTCCTCCCTTTGGTTTCATTTGTAAATAAATAAATAAATCACACAATTTTAAAATATTAATGAATTATATTAATTGTGTTTGAAAATAAAAAAATTAAACTAAAATACATTTTATTAATCATGTTAATCAAGTTTATATTAGTTATTTTTTATGACTCTGGATGATAAAATTATGAGGGAGTAATTTAAAAAATTTATAATACATGTTTATTAAAAAATGTAATTTTATTTATATAAAAAAAATAAATATAATAGATTCTCTTATAAACATGAAGGGAGTATCAAAGAAGAGTAGAACAAGTCAACATCAGAACTTTGTGCCAAATTCTGTCATTTCAATTTCCTGCATTCCTGGGTTGAGTTAATTACAGTGTGTTTGGATACTGCAATTAATTGATTTTTTGGCCCAAAGAATCGATTTAAATAGAATCTACCCAAACAGTCAATTGTGATAATTGATTATTGAGGCAATTAATTAATTTTATCGTGAGTTGAGGGAGACTGCTGACTGTTGACTGCAGAGCATATATATTCTGTCTAATGCAACCTATGTGCTCACTGTCATTAGTCGTGCATGTTTTGGTCCTTAGCTATGTTGAACCGCACCACATATTTTTTATATTCTGTCATATTTTTACCACCTTGATCACAGGATGGTAAAAGTACCGGCCTGGACCTCAAAAAAGGAGAATTGCAAATGCAATTTGGATGGTGCTAAACAAATTTTTTTTATACCAATCAAGTTACATTTTATTTTTTTATCATGTACTATCGGCCTTATATTAATTTGTTATCAATAATTTATTTATAATTTAATTTTAAAAAGTAATAGCTTTTATAATAATTTATACAGTTAAAATTAATTCTAATTAAATTATTTAAATATTTTTAATTATATTAAAATTAATTTTAGAAAAATAATATATAAACAGATTGTGTTATAACATAATCAGTTATAATTAAAATTAACCATATTAATTAATTTTTTTATAATTAATTATATCTAATTGAAATCTAAGCAACACTTACACTATGTTTAGGAGATTTTTTTAGGGGGGAGTGGAATGGAGTGGGATGGCTAAAAAGCCTAAATTATTATTTGTAAGTTTTTTTTTAATGATGGAATGGTAAGAAAAGGCCTCTAAAACTTTTTTTTGCCATTCATAGTTTAAT